TCAATCACATGATACAAATGGAAAACAAGTGTCATATTCCTCACCTGGTACAGGCCTTTCCTTATGTAGAAAATAGTGGGTTAAACCTGGTTTTATAGCTAGCTTAACCTCTCCAATCCATCCAACTTTTCTAGAGGGAGATATTTATGTCTTGATACGCCTAATGCGCATTTGGAAGGTATTTCAGGTATTGTATTTTTCATTACAAAATCCTTGCTTACGCTTTGTGTCAATACATTGACCAATATAGACCTCGCCCATGGGGATAAAGCATGACATGGAGTGTTGTATTATATAACTACAACTAAATATAGATTGTACAAGTCTCAAAACACGTGTTATTTTTAGATTTGAAATTCAGTAATCAATCTAAATATAAAGTTTGTACGGATTTTCCAACGAGGTTTATTTTTATCTTTGGTGTAATGACAAAGTAAAAACTTACAACAATGGTTGCATCATCATTTCATTACCCATTTTTCTATATTTATTGTTTTTGTCTGATAAAAATATCAATATCATTAATCAATTGTGCCTCTAATATCAGTTAATTCATATCTTATCAATATTTCAACAGAAAAACGTGCGAATTGAATAATAACCGTAAATGAATATTATCAAGGTTTTCTTTTTTTTTAATAGGTAAATTGAAATGAATGTATCTGTTGAATAAATTGCACTTTGAAGTTTAATTTTTTGTTGTTGTAAATTTCTTTTCCGTCAAATACGCGTATACATTCTTGAAATGGCACCAACTCATTAGTAAAAGATGGTTAAGACCATTGGATTAAGATTTATAGCTTATATGTTATACTGACAGTATAATGAACAGATGTAAAGAAAATGTCATATTATTAAATTATTTATGGTGAATGAATGCATTTTAACAGGAGAGAGAAAGAAATTAAATTATGATGGTGAGTTATTGTGTCACTATGATTATTTTTCGTGAATACCAATTATATGCTGCGTCATAAACAAATATGTACAATTTGTACTTGTTTTTACATATTCCTCGTAATGTTGTAATGACAATAATTTTTTCCCTTAAATCTGATAAATAATTGCTGATAGATCAGCTATTTATACTTTTAGGAATTTTAAATTGTCGCCACCTTTCCATCAATATTGGATACTTACTTATTCGTAATTTATATATTGCTGATTACACCATTTGTTTAATGAATCAACATGAGACAATATTTGAACCATTGTGTATAATTGCCTAAAAAAACTTAGTTTTAAAGGAAGTACTGATCATAGACACTTTTCTTATTTGACTCCTGTGCAGCTTTATTAGGGAACTATTATCCACAAGGTAGATATATTTATTTATTTGTTTCCCTTTTCATGTTTTGTTAAGGACTATCGGGACGTTACGTTACCATTGAATACATATACATTATCATCCATGATTATCACATAGCTTTGAAATCGTCTGGAGAAAAATGTAGTTAATTAAGGGACATTTAGTGCATTTCTAACTTTAAGGTTTTTTTTATATTTCTTCTTGTGTGAATGCAAATCTGATTTTTAGCATAAGATATATATGAATAACTTTCATTTTATAAGATATGTTATTCTGTTTTGTTTTGTTAATCCAGTTGGTTCAAAACATTTTAGCATAGTACAGCCTAGTAGTCAGAAATTCTGTGTTGACCTGATTTATTATTGATATGGTTATATTAATAAGTTAAACGTTTATAAAACTTTGAATTGCACAAAATACTCAGGATATTCTACCCCAGCAGAAGATCATCTTAGCTGTATTTGGCAAAACCTTTCGGAATTTTTGGTCCTCAATGCTCTTCAACAGAAAAATAAATGAACAAATTGCTTTCAAATTTTATTCAAATCTCTTTCAAATCGTGATTCTGCGATTTGTTAGAACCATTTCCTTGGAATGCATTTAAGAAATTATAAACAAATCAGAATTTGCCAAATTCCCCCAAACTTTTTGATTTCTTTCAATTGTATGATTTGTAAGTAATTTGTTTCTTTTCTGACGTGATTGCTTTATGATTTGTTTACTTAGATTGGCGTATGAAATGATTTGAAAAAGATTTTTTAAATTTGTTACAATGAAAACAATGTTATTGCATTCGGATTTTCTAGTTGAGATCAAATACTGTTCTTTATCAACTGAACGAAAAAGCTTGCAGGATGAAGAGCGTAAAATATATGATCAATGATTACAGTGGTAAAGAATCTCAGTAAATAACTTATTATTTCACACATTCAATTAATACTATTTAAACATGTCGAAAGTGTTGACCTTTTAAATTCGGAAATTGTGCATTTCAGTATCTCGTAATAAATATGTACTATCAGGATTAATTTTCAAAATAAAAATGTGTACAAGAAGTGTGGACAGATTAAGACATGCAATTAAAGATTAATTTCCTGAGTCAGCAGACAAAATTCACTGGAAAGTTTTATGTTTTAATTTTTTCATGATGTTTACTGGCCAGGTCCAGGGCTTAAGGGGCAAAGCTACATTAGTAGATTGGGCCCAGACTAAGACCCATCGCCTATTCGACATCCTTCTAGTAAACGTGGTTGCCCATGTGTTTGTCAAATCTCGTTAGAGTCAAATTCGGGAGCAGCAAGGGAAACCCTTCACAGAGGAAACAATTCGTCCCGCATGGCAACCAGAGATAGTAATCGCTTAACAATCAGAGGAGTAGTTATGGTAAAATGAAGATAAGTGCTTTTCAAAGTTTGTGGGTCTCAGGGGCAGAATATATTTTGAACTAGATGTAAATAATTTAATCTGTGATTTCTTGACAATTTGTTTGTGATTTGCTAATGAATTGGAAGCAATTTGTTCGTGATTTGTTGTTGTGATTTGTAAACTCATTTGCATGTGAAATTTTATCACTTTCAAAACATAAAGAAATCATACGGTTTGGTTATCATTTGTTACCATGATTTGTTCCTCAATTTTTTCTCTTTGAGTGATATTGTAGTTTCCAACAAGCGGAATATTCACTGAACATTTTGAAAGCATGAAGACTTTGAACTTCCTTTTTTACTGCCTCCTTAAACAAGTCCTGTTTAAAATGATTTTTTTCCAACAGGTAAGCAACTTAAAAACAGTAATATTTTATTACTTCCATGAAACCTTCCAAATCAGTGAATCAGTGAAGACAAGTATGAAAAAATGTTTGCATCGGCGGTAGAAAAAAATGCCGCTAACGCTACGGAATAAATATATTAACAAATATTATGTCTTCCTATGTTTTAATGATCATAGTGCATCACATGAAACATTTTAATTACAGCACACAACAAGTTCGTTTGAAAACTATTTGCAAGCTGTATGCTTTTTTAGATTTGTGAAATGCAACTATTTTTCTATATTTAGATATGGATTTTCCAATAAATCAAAATGCAGTTTGCATGTCCGAAGAATTATATTTAGGTACCAAATATTACTCTTGGTTGCATCATTACTATATAATTATTTCACCAGTCTCTTTGAAAAAAGGTAAACGGTTAACTATTGTTTTCATGAAAATTTCCACATCAAAATATTAAAATAGAGCAATAGTTCATCTAGTCAGTTTGGATTTTATAAAAAAAAAACCAAGGATAAAAAGAACAGATCAGATAGGAATTATATGAAATCAATTTCAAAGCAAAACGATGCTTCTTTTTTGCAATTTTATTGGGGTGTTAACCTCGTTGACCGACGCACATTCTGGATAAAGCCCGGAAGTTTCAACTACGTACCACATTTGGCCTTTTAAATTTTAGTTTTATTCGAGCGTCACTGATGAGTCTTATGTAGACGAAACACGCGTCAAGCGTTCAACATCATAAGCCTGGTATCTTTCATGAGTTTTTTTTTCTCTTATATATGGGCGTATTTGTAAGGAAAGTAATTAGATATTCAAAAAATCTAATGCTTGAAAATACCATCTGACTTTTAAGGATAACACGACATACCTCAATACGGCCATTTTTTACTTCTTTAATATACATATCAATATCCACCAAGTGTGTTTTTTTAAACATGTCATGCGTACTTTTTAGGAACAGGAATTCCCAGGGGCGGATTCAGGCGGGGGGCGTGGTGGGCGTGCGTCCCCTAAATTTTCAAAGCATGGGTTGTCCTCAGCTTAATAAAGTATCTGAAGAGACTATAGAAATATATTTCGATAATTTTACCTCAAAAATATTTAAGTTTGCGCCCCCTAGCCTAAAATCCTGGATCCGCCCCTGATTTCTACAGGATGTGTTAACACCCAAAATTTAACTATGTTACATATATATATATGTAAGTGAGATGAAAATATCGAACAATTTTCCTTAGTCTAAATGGGTTATCTAGACAAGCTAATTTCCTCATTTCGAAATAGACTTGTCTTGCCCTTTCCATAGATGTATAGATAGCTAAAATTAAAACATGCTTATTTATATTATACATGCTATATAATTATTTAGAAAAAATGCCATTAAAAGATTTATTAAAGATACATAAGTTCAAATATTGTTAAATATTTTACCATTTCAGTTAAATACATTAACTTTGTACTTGTCCGTATTAACTTATATTGTAGTTTCCAACAAGCACAATATTAATTGAAAGCATGAACACATTGGAATCCCTTTTTTACTGCCTCCTTAAAATAATCCTGTATATAATGTATTTTTTTCCAAAAGGCCGGCAATTTGAAACATGTTTACATCGGCGGTAGAAAGTAATGCCGCTAACGCTCGAAATAAATATATTAACAAATACTATGTCTTCCTATGTTGTATTGAAAAAAGTGTATCACCTGAAACATTTAAGATTAAATACACATTCAGTTCGTTTGAAAACTATTTGCAAACTGTATGATATTTTTAGATTTGTGAAATGCAACTATCTTTCTATATTTAGATATGGATTTTCCAATAAGCCAAAACACAGTTTGCGTGTCCGAAGAACTATATTTAGGTACCAAATATTACATGTATTACTCTTGGTTGCATCATTATTATATAATTTTTTCACCAGTGTCCTTGAACACAGAAAAGCGGTTATTTATTGTTTTCATGAAAATTTCCATATCAATATAAAAACAGCAATTGGTCACCTAGTCAGTTCAGATTTTATCAAAAAACGAGGATGAAAAGAACAGATAAGGTAGGAATGATATGAAATCAGTTTCAAAGCAAAACGATTTTTTTTCTTAAATTGAATGCATTTATTTGTACTTTTGTTGGGTTGTTCCCAAAAACATTTATTGATTTAAAAATACAATCTGTCTGTAAAGAGAAATCGACTAATCTCAGTACGACAAATTTGTTTTTCTTATATAAACATGCATATCAATATACATTGTACGCCGAGTGTTTTTTGATAACATATAAAACTGACTTTTTGAAGGAGCAGGAATTTATGGCACATTTATATAAGTCAAATGAGAGTACCAATCATTTTTCTTTAAATTTAAATGAGGTATTCAAACAAGCAGATTTCCTTATTTCGAAATAGACTTTTCTTACCTTTTCCATAGATGTATGCATGGCTAAAATGAAATTTACTATTTTTTTTGTATTAACTAAATAAGAGTAATCAATAAAAATGTTATTAAAGACGTGTTAAAGGTAAAGAGGAAAATATACTGTCAAATATTATACAATTTCAGTTAAATACAACAGCTTTGTACTTATCTGTATTAACTTATATATTGTAGCTTTCAACAATTGCAATATTCATTGAAAGCATGAACACTTTGGAATCCCGTTTTAACTATCTCCTTAAACTATTCCTGTATATAATGTATTTTTTTTTCAAAAAAGGTGAGCAACTTGAGAACACATTAAGGTTTTTTAATAACTATTTTCAAGCTGTATGCTATTTTTAGAATTTTGAAATGCAACTAACTTATCTATATTTAGATATGGATTTATCAATAAAACTATCATACAGTTTGCATGTCCGACGACTTGTATTTAGAATATATTACTGTTGGTTGCATCATTATTATATAAATATTTTTTATCAGTGTCCTTGAATAAAGATAAGCAGTTATTTGTTGTTTTCATGGATTTATACGGATTTTCCAATAAAGATAAACGCAGTTTGCATGTCCGGAGAATTATATTTTAGTACCAATATACGCTTAACAATTGTTTTCATGAAAATTTCCACAACAATATAAAAACAGCATTTGTTCATCTAGTCAGTTCAGATTTTATCAAAAAAAACGAGGATGAAGAGGACAGATAAGGTGGGATTATATGACATTACAATACAAGGCAAAATGATACTTTTTTTTATTTTGGAATCTGCTATTTTGGTTTTTTTATTTAATATTCTGGTATTTATAATAATCGTTCAAAAACTATTAATGTTCAAATCAAAGGTTCCTCTGTTATTGATACAGACTCTTTTATTCCTACCTGCTTTCTACAAGGATTTCAAAAAGATATACCGTTTTAACGACCAAAACCTTTTTATTCTGCAGGTAACCCAATAAAAAGACCAGGTTTGTTGTAACATTCAATAATTATTCATTTATACTGACATTGGTGCATATTCGGCAATTTCGAAAAGCTTCGTTTACATCTTAAAATATATATTAGCCCGTGTAAATTTATTGTTAAAAGTAAACATGGTAAAGGAGAAGAAACAGAGATATTTGTTGGGTTTTTTTGTAATATAACTATTTTCGACCATGTCATCTGTATCTAGAAAGAAGCATCTCGTGAACAAGAGGGTACACATGAAAAGATTTGACCTTCGCCCTTTGAATTTATTGAAATTAAGGCGAAGTAATTCACTCCTCCACAGAATCTTTTATACGAACGCAAAATATTTTGCATATGTAGTCTAACTTTCAACCATGGTTCTAAATTTAGATTTTACTTTCCCCAAAAATTGCGGAATAGAAGACACATGTTTATTTTCTGCCCTTGTGGATAAAGTTGAAAACTGAGAGTTGATGTTATTGTTTTTATTCTTCGACTTATAAATATTGCACTAGCGGTTGATTAACCCCTTGGTATCTTCTTACCTTCTATATAAAAGTACCCTCTCCTATGTGTCTAAAGCAAAAACAATAGAGCCAGGCTAACTTACAATAGGATTCTCATATTTGTGATTGGAGTCATTCTGATAATTACCTTGAGACAGCACAAGCATACTTGTTTGGTTTCGTGATAGATCACACGAAGTCATTTCTCTTTCGTGTGCCCATTTTCTTGCTTTCTTGGAGTAAGGGAGATAGCTCACGTAACTAAGACACATTTTTTATCCCGAATTCCGCTAGAGGCGTGTAATTATCTTTACTTCGAATTAATGCGACATTCTTTATAGTCAAAGTTTTGGAAATAATATTGAAAACCATGTAACATTTGACAGTATTTCTAAGAATTTTTTTTCGGATATAAGTGGCGAATTCCTAATATAAGCTGGCAGCTTCGTTCTTCAATGCACATTGTGTTGTGATCGAGTGAATAATTTAACTCAAATCTGTGCTAGAAACCGTTTATTAATTTAGAATCCACAGTTGTTTACCGATTTTTAAATCTCATAAATTCGTTTAGAACATACAAATCAAAGTAAAAAGTACATTTGAGCAATTCACACGAGCTACACAATAAGCGAAATTGGATGCCTCGACAAGGTAAGCTACTATGTATTCTGATATGCATGCTTCATCCGCATTACCACTACTTTCACAATATGAAATAGAAAACAATTTTGATAGATTCTTAAATCAGATGACTATTGTATTATCTGAATATTTGAGAACGCAAAAACATATTGCAATTGATATACGACATCCATTTCGTGATTGTGACCCTAAAATCTTTGTAATGTTGACAAAACAGCAATACAAACTCAATTTATTTGTCTTTTTTTTTCACGTGATTTTGTGTGATTAATAAAAAAATTACATATCCTTATTCTAATAAATAAAAAGAAACGATTACTTTTACATTTTAATCTGATAAATTTATTGAATGTGCAAGATTGGCGTCAATATGCATACTATTTTTTTTTATTCCAACCAAGTTCGCAAATGTGACATTTTCAAGGACCAATTATAAATAGAAACATCCACAATATAAGTAATATACAAGATACATATACACATAAATAGATTAATAAGATGTTGTGATACAGTATTGTACAATTTCTACAACCATTAAAAACAATTTTAAATTATTGTCAAGTTTGTTTTTCATTGAAACATGTATGTTGACGCCAAAGAGCGTATTGTCTTATCTTCCTGTTTTAAGTAAGACAAAATGAAGTTTTAAGTATTGTATTTTCTTTCAGACAAATAGTTGTTTCTATTGTAAACAGAAAGTATGCACTAAGAAAAGACAAGTGTGGAAGCAGCTTATCAATACAGAATATAGTGCTGCGCTTTTGCGAAAAACTAAGGCTGTAGCAAAAAGCCATGGCCTTTATTGTATCAGAACTGTAAATGGTGAAATTCTATATATAGGATATTCAGACCGCAGTGTGCGGAAAAGACTTTTGGTAAGTTTAATAATGTACATTCGAAAACAAATAACTTCTCAATCCAAGTTAATCAAACTGTTGTCTTTTTGGGGCGTCTTTAAATTCAAAACGGGACACTTTTATGAGTTATGTTAGTTTGTTATTTGTTTTAGTGAAGGTTTTTTTTTTACAGAAACACATAATTGAGTCCTTTAATGAATAACGTAATAACCGTTCTTACCATTTTGCTTCAATTCAAAAGTACACCATAGACATTTCTGAACATGGCAAACAGAAATTTCTAAAGAAATCTTTCAATTCCGTTTTCTTTTCAGAAGAAAATGAAAACATCACGACATTGAATATTTGCATTAACTGTAGGTATTAAACATTTGAACCGTTGTTGTGATACCTTTTCACAGTTATGATCCTTTAATTGTCGCTAAACGGTACAAAAGTGTTTGTTTGATAAATAAAGTTCCATTTAGGGTGTCACCTTATAACTGTATATCAATAAAATATTTTTCATGCTTCCTTATTCTTGCAAAATATTTTGAAACAGTAGCTTATAAAAAATTTGATTTATCTATAGGATGATTGTTCTTTTTCACAAAATAATGAATTAAATCAATCTTTTCAGGCACACTGTGGGGGTTATGATAGGCAAGCAATAGGCAAATTTCTGAAAGGCAAGGATTTGAGAGACTTTTTACTTTCCTGGGTTGAAGAACGAAAGGCAGAATGCCTAGAAGAACAATTTATAGAGTTCGCTGCACAGGAACAAGGAGTTCGTCCTAGATTTAATATGAAAAGAGGACGATCATGCGGACGGAAAGAAGAATGAATCTATACAATTGTATACATTTGGACTATAAACGTTATGTTGTTATGATCCCATTTGAAGAAATTAATAAATTTTATATTTTACAATCTTAAAACGAAATAAATGAATTTCTATTCTAATTTCATTTATTTTATCTTTAGCTTTGAACATATCGTACATACACAAATATATGGAATACGTGTTAACCAATGTCTAAACATAACAAAATGATTAAGAAGACAAGTCAGGGAACAAACACAAACTAATGGAATCACATGAACTCCATGACCGCTTGCGTCGTTGATAATGTAAGCATCTACTGCTGTGAACACAATACACACTAGGCGAATACACTCAAGTCGGCATCTGCAAATATGAATATTACATCAAGCACAAAACTGAATGTTTAACGAATTTTCGATAAAATGTCTCTGTCCTTCTTTGTTTAATAAAACATCTTCGCTTCACTTACTTTCATTTGGAATTTATACTCAATGTAAAGTGTTTATGCTTGTAATTTTAATGTTATGAATATGCAATAAAACAAATACCTTTATAAGTTTAAAGAAACTGCATAAAGATGACAGGCGCCACCTAGTTTTACATCAAAGATGATAACTAGAAGTAAAAAAAAATTCTGCTGCATTGTAAATAAGAAAAAATTCCTTTTTTTTGTTTAGTCAATTGCATAATTAATGAATTCAAAAGCTATAGACAAATTGTATAATCTTATCATTCTACTACTAAATCAATGGCTACTTATGACAGGTATATGTACCTTCGGAGACTGAAAGTCCACCAAGTTGGGAATCGACCGAGTATAAAAAAACCTCACCACTTTATAAATGTCCATAAACTCTTAGTTAAGTGGTTGGTAATGGCTTTCTACTATATACATGATATTACATAAGTTTTCAATATCAACATAAATCTGTTTTATGCCCCCGCCGTAGCGGAGGGGGCATTACGTTTTACCTTTGTCCGTTTGCACGTCAGTCCGTCCGTCCGTACATCCGTACATCCGTACATCCGCACGTCAATACGTCCCAAATTTGGTTACCGTTCTTTAAATCTTTTATGCCTTACCCAAATGTTATGAAATTTATACACAATGCTTATTACCCCAAAACACAGACCCAATTTGAATTTGGGTGTCGTCATTTTTACATGTCTAGCGTTATGCCCCTTTATAAATGGAAAAATTACTGAATATTTCGTTTCCGTTCTCCAACTTCAGTTTGCCTCAACCAAGTATTGTGAAACTTATACACAATGCTTATTACAAAAAATCTCAGATCTTTTACGAATTTGGGTAGCATCTTTTTGACCGTTCTTGAGTTATGTTCCTTTACAACGTAATGTGCAAGCGGGGCATCATCTGTGTCCCATAGACACATTCCCATTTTTTTTCTTTATAATTTGCTTTACAGCAAACTAATCATAGACGAACGAGCAGAAACTGTCATCGTCACTTCATACTTCTGTTTAGTGATCAGCTGGTGTTCACGTATCAATTGCAACGGTCTTTGATTGATGATTGTTTAATTTTAAAGTCTTTTATAACAAATGCACCTTTCAATGAGGAACTCTCTACCCTTCCGCTGTGTTTACGGATCATCCAAGCATTTGAATACGGTTCATAGTGATAAATCTGGAAAGGGTTTATACCCAATAAATGGCCAATTTGTTTTGTAATCACATGAACATGATGAAGTAGAACACACAGTAAACCTTCTCAAAATCAAAAAAGAAAAGACGTCATGCAAATTCTTTAATTTTACTTTCATACATATCAACCATGTCATGTCACTCAATAAATCTCCTTTTAGTGAGTGCTTGCTTGTCTGTTCTGGTTTCTCCATCAATTTTCAGTTATTAAAATTAATTATGGTCAGATGCAAAAATTTTATTTGAATGTTCATAATCATTTGGAACTTCCTTTGCTTTTGGTCTAATTCTATTTTTGTACATCATTCTTTCAATGTTGTCATTTTTAAAACTATGTGACTGTGACAGATATTATTTCTTATAGTGTCTCTTCAAATCTATACAAAACCGGTGTTAACCGGTCGTTGCTTGTCGATATGTTCTTCATGTTCTTAAAATAAATACTTTTGTTGTCAAACTTTGGCCCAATTTCTTATTCTGTCTTGATAAGCGGTACCGATGTTAATATCCACGTAAATGAAATTTTGTTTTCAATATCATTTTCTGTTGCTGACGGACTAAAGGTCTTAAAATCTCTGTCGTGAATATTGTGTTTTGTGTTCTAGTCCTTATGACGTGGTATAAAACATCACCAAGTACACAACCTTTGCATTGAATGTAAAACATATTCGAGTCTTCATGATTGTAATAAAAGGCGTCATGTTTACATACATGCATATATAATATATTTAATGTCGGTTTCCTACAGTAAGAGTCCAATATTGTTGACAATATTCCCCCACTGGTTTAGAATATCGTTGTTTTGTAAATTGTTACAGAGTGCATAACAAGCAGTTGCGCGTTTTATCTACATCATCACTGACGCTCCATTCAAAAGGTTACAAGGGTCAAATTAAGAAAGACATTGAAGAGCATTGAGATCCCAAAGTTTATAGCACAGGAATTCATAAAGTATGGCTTGTTTCCAATTGTCAAAAGACGAATATATCAACACCAAATATTGAGGACACATCCCACATTCATGCAAGCTATTTTTCTGAAAATAAGATTGAATGGGAAGAATAACTCTTTTATTATAGAAAGCTCAATGTTCGAAAGTATCTACATAACTCGCATAATACAGTAGAAGTCTCCTGCAATCACATAAATATAGGTGCATATAGTGAAAAGTAAAATAAAAAAAAAAACCGAACTCCTCGGAAAATTCAAAACGGAAAGTCATTTAGTGAGTGTTTACAAATAGGCAAGTAATATTGGCGTCTTTGACTCTGTTAGTAATATGATAGGCGTTTCCTGAATAAGACACAATTGATATAAATACAGTCCTTGAATGGTGTAAACTTCCCACTAACACCATACACCATTACACCATTCACCATACACCATTACACCATACTACCTGTGCCATTATACCATACACGTTACACCTTTGCACCATACACCTTACACATTACACCATAATGCAATTTAATTTCAAAGAAAGCGTGCGATTACAAAATTATTTATTTATTTTAAAAAACGAATTTTGATTACAATATTGTAAATTAATGTATATAATTAAAAATCAGTTCTTATCAATATTTTACATAGTTTTAAATGTCGTACACCCTTCATTCACACAATTCCCGATCGCACGTTACACCATTACACCATTCCCCTTACAACATACACCATAGCACCATACACCTTCTACCATTGCACCATATGCCATACACCATTTCACCATACACGTTTTTTTTTTAAAGTTAACACCATCCAAGGGCTGTACAATACTCTATATTATATCTACTCAGCTTGACTGAATTTTTGGCAAACGTACATTATCAGACTTCGAATTTCCTCATGCGGAATTGAAAGAGCGAATAAATTGCTTCATTTAACAGATGTTGTCATCAAACCAGGAATCGTAAATAAATTTGGACACGGTTCACTTTAGGCCAAATATGGCCTTCAATTTTAACTTAATCGTAACATTTCAAAACGGTATTTCACATCTTAAATTTTACGGTAATATTGTACCGAGGGAAACACATCAACTATAAGAGAAAAAACGGAACAACAGAAACACTGAAAGAGCGGTAATCATTATGTTATCCGTGCAAACTCAACGAACCATTAAAAAAACTTATTAGTTAATGTTATCTTATTAATGTTATTATAATATCTTTGAATATTGTTTACATTGGCACAAATATTCATTTTGTCATCAACAATTTAAAACATACCTAAATTTGTATTCTTTTCGAATGGTTTTTTGGGATGTATAAATACACATCCACGATTATTTTCTATATCGAGATTAATTTATCTATACATAACATTTTATCTTACCTCCTATACATTTCTAGGAATATAATTGGTTAAAAGCAACCGCTTGTAGACCGTGTATATTCCATATTGGGTTAGTAAGCCGAGCTTATTTCAATATACGGTAAGTAGTGGTGTTACGTCCCTTTATAAGAACAACACGGTGTTGAGGAAAAATCTTCAAGGTTTCAACAGACGAAGAAATTGATGATGAACGATTGAAATAAATTCATAAAACACTTTTAAAGCTAACAAGTTGTTATTGTTGGCATTTTTTTTTTGGTTAGACCAATAGATGTATCTTCTTAATACTTACGGTATTGAAGACTTGATCGCTTTGATAGGCCACTAGTCTAAATAGCACAAGTTAAGCCGGTAAGATAAATTCGTTACATAGTGTGCTAGTGACCTAATACGATATATATGGGATCAGTAAATTCCATATGGGGATTAGAACTTCGCTCTCACCCCATATGGAATTTACTGACCCCATATATATCGTATTAGGTCACTAGCATACTATGTATCTAATAATACACATTTAATATAAGGTTAAATCCTAACTAACATTCTGCCTGTCGACAATTTTATTTTGGCATTGCAAAAGTCATGTCTTCTTTGACTGTCCATGGCGTTAAAACACTAAATCCCTGGGATGAGTTTTTTTGATTGATTTTAGTCTTTGACGCCTGAATTTGTATTAGTAATTGTTTTCGGCTTTGCACTAGCTTTCAGTAGTTGCGAGTATGTTTGCTTGTTTTTGTGTTACATGTATTTCTCGTCTCACTATTTTTCATATTTACTTCCTTTGATAAGTGTTGAGTATTATGATAAATTTTCACTTCTGTTCTCGTACTATGAACAACAAAATGATTTTGTAAAAAATATTTCCGTACTCCTAACAACAAAATTATTTCATTTATAGTTACCTGTGTACTTTATTTTATTTAACGCCATTTTGTCCTAGGTTATAGTTGTATTTTTGACATTGTTTTACATATTGTATTTATATTGTGTCATAGATCAAATTTATTTGTTCAGTGTATGTTTACTTGTTTTGTTATTATTTCTTTTTGATCAAGTTTAGTCATTTCAATTGATATTTTATAGTGTGTCTTTCTATGTTGTAGTGTTATACTGCTGTTTCAGGTTAGGGTGAAGGTTG